CTCCAAGTTGACCAAAAGTTCCACAATGGTTTCAAGGTCTTATTCCAACTTACTTGACCTTACTTCTGGTGATTCCCCAACTTTTGGCCGTGAGAAAAAGAGGTTCCCCCGAGTGGCAACTGTTGCTGGAGTATTGTCTGAGCTTGATGATGATAACAGTAATAGTGTTGGATCTGATGCTCCGTCATCCATTGCTCAAGAACGGATGATCATAGTGGGAAATCAGCTTCCAATTCGAGCCCATCGAAGAGACGATGGGGAGTGGTACTTTAGCTGGGATGAGGATTCGCTTCTTTTGCAACTCAAAGATGGCCTTGGAGAAGATGTAGAAGTAGTCTATATTGGTTGTCTTAAAGAAGAAATTGACCTGAGTGAGCAAGATGATGTAGCCCAAACTTTGCTTGATACTTTCAAATGTGTCCCGGCATTTCTTCCTCCTGAGCTTTTTAGTAAATTTTATCATGGTTTCTGTAAACAACATTTGTGGCCTTTATTTCATTACATGCTTCCTCTATCACCAGATCTTGGTGGCAGGTTTGATCGGTCTCTATGGCAAGCTTATGTTTCTGTGAACAAGATATTTGCAGATAAAGTAATGGAAGTGATTAGCCCCGATGATGATTTTGTGTGGGTTCATGATTACCATTTGATGGTTTTGCCAACATTTTTGAGGAAGAGGTTTAATAGGTTGAAGCTTGGATTCTTTCTCCACAGTCCATTCCCTTCATCGGAGATATACCGGACACTTCCTGTAAGAGATGAGCTTCTAAGAGCACTTTTGAATTCTGACCTTATTGGCTTCCATACTTTTGATTATGCTAGGCACTTCCTATCTTGTTGTAGTAGAATGCTTGGCCTCTCATATCAGTCTAAGCGAGGATACATTGGGCTTGAGTATTATGGTCGGACTGTAAGCATTAAGATTCTTCCCGTTGGGATACACATACGCCAACTGCAATGTGTGTTGAATCTTCCAGAGACTGAATCAAAAGTTGCTGAGTTGAAAGATCAGTTTAGGGGGCAAACTGTTTTGCTTGGGGTTGATGACATGGACATCTTTAAGGGAATTAGTTTGAAACTTTTGGCCATGGAACAATTGCTTATACAACATCCTGATAAGAGGGGTAAGGTTGTTTTGGTTCAAGTTGCTAACCCTGCAAGAGGCCGGGGGAAAGATGTCCGGGAGGTCCAGGTAGAAACTGATGCCACAGTGAAGAGGATCAATGAGACTTTTGGAAGGGAAGGATACAATCCCGTGGTTTTGATTGATACCCCACTTCAGTTTTATGAGCGAATTGCTTATTATGTAATTGCTGAGTGTTGTCTTGTTACAGCAGTGAGGGATGGGATGAATCTCATACCCTATGAATATATAATATGCCGCCAAGGAAATGAGAAGCTAGATGAGACTTTAGGACTAAACCCAACAGCCCCTAAAAAAAGCATGCTAGTGGTATCTGAGTTTATTGGGTGCTCTCCATCACTAAGCGGGGCAATTAGAGTTAACCCGTGGAACATTGATGCTGTTGCTGAAGCTATGGACTCTGCCCTAATGGTCCCTGAGGCAGAAAAACAGTTGCGGCACGAGAAGCATTATAGGTATGTTACTACACATGATGTTGCATATTGGGCGCGTAGCTTCTTGCAGGATCTTGAAAGGGCATGTAGGGACCATATGAGGAGGAGGTGCTGGGGTATTGGTTTTGGGTTAGGATTCAGGGTGATTGCTTTGGATCCAAATTTCAGAAAGCTCTCAGTTGAACATATTGTTTCAGCTTATAAGAGGACCAAAAATCGAGCGATTCTTTTGGATTATGATGGTGCTATGATGCTGCCGGGTTCGATTATTACCACTCCTAATACAGAGGCTGTTGGAATCTTGAACAATTTGTGCAATGATCCAAGGAACGTTGTCTTTCTTGTTAGTGGGAAAGACAGAAAGACTTTAACTGAATGGTTTTCTTCTTGTGCAAAGCTTGGGATCGCAGCAGAGCATGGTTATTTTGTGAGGTACGTTTCTCTTTGTTGTTGTTATTGGCCCTACTCCCCCCTTGCTTCCCCATTAAGGGGCTCTATGGCCTTGCACATGTTGTTCCTTTTTGAGTACAAGCTATAGTCTAAACTAGAGGGGATAAACATGTTGTTCCTTGTTATAAATGAGACATAGATAAGGTACGAAAAGAAAGGGGAAGAAGAAAAAGAGCTTAAGATGGAAGAAAAGATAAAAAAAGAGAAAAAAAGGCACTCACTTACTAATATAGCTCACCCTTTGGATATTTTTTCCTTTCTTTCTGGTTGACTGTCTATGCCAGTTGTTAGGGCTGTCCCGTACACTTATGCATGCAACCTTAGTTAGTCATCTTCTATCAGAAACTAAGTTCTAGTTGTTGTCTTGTTTATAGTGTACTCTCCATTTTGTTTGACTATTCTTAAAACATCAGTGAAACATTTTCCCAGTATGTAACCGTTGGTAGCTTTCTCCTTGCAAAATGGAATTAATAATTACTGCAAGCATATTGATGTTGAACTAGGCTTGGATCTGGCTCATTTTTGTTTCCAAAAGGGACAGGCAAGTCCTGTTTCTAGTTGTACGAAGAACTGATGAACTGTGCAATCTCACTTGTTTAGTTTTCTAACAGCTTTTGTAGACAATTAAAATTTAGATTTCAAATGATAAATAAGTGTCTTGCACAAAATAGAAGGGTGAAAAGGAACACGTTAAATTAGGATAGCTATTGCATGTGTTGAATTATTTACCTTAAATAGGAAAAGAACCCTAGTTCGACGGGTTCAATTTACATGATATCCAGATGCCCCTTAAAACTGAAGCATGAAAATTTATAATTATTATATGACAGTTGATAAAACTTTAATCTTTATGGTACAGAGATCGACAGTGGAGCCCAATTGATTCATTCTCACATGCTTTCTTGGGTTATCATGCTCTGCTCTCAATAATAGACTTGTGCTGCTTTCTATGCTGAATATTTTTTTTTCGAAATGCAAATGGTAGTCAATTCGGCATTTCTTTTGCCTCCAGTACTAACTGGTAGGCCTTTCTTCTTGCTTTTGTGAAGAGTACTAAAGTGCAACCTTCATATCAGCTCCAATTGGTTTGATGGTTCTTTGAGCAAGTTTTTGTGACCATTATTCTTGGAGATGGGTTATTAGCTTTAGAAGGCAGAATCGGCAGAAAAAAAATCTACATGAATTTTGAAATTTTTTCCCTACTGCTACTCTTTGTGATTTTGTATTGGTTGTATTTAAACATTGGGGAAAAAGAAAAAGGTAGAGCCGTATTCATTGTATATCATAGTCAGAATCAGTAATTGACCCAAAGAAAAAGGGAAAAGGAGTCACAGTATCCAACATTGTGATGCAGTTTCTTTTTGTAGAGTTTTGAAAGGAGAAACATGTCTGAATATTCATTTGTCTATTTGGGGTGTGATTTAAGTTTAGTGTTATCTTCTTTTCAGGTCAAATCATAATGCCGAATGGGAAACTTGTGTCTCCATTCCAGATTTTGATTGGAAACAGATTGCTGAACCAGTAATGCAGTTATACACTGAAACAACTGATGGTTCTACAATAGAGACCAAAGAAAGTGCTCTTGTTTGGAATTACCAATATGCGGATCCGGATTTTGGCTTCTGTCAGGCTAAGGAGCTTCTGGATCACCTGGAAAGTGTTCTTGCCAATGAGCCAGTTTCTGTCAAGAGTGGCCAGCACATTGTAGAAGTTAAACCTCAGGTTGGTGGCTCTTTTTCTCCTTTCCACTGCCAACTTTATAGACATTCCTAACTCTAGGAACAGATATAAATTAAATGAGTTCTTGCTATCCATTGCCATAAGTAATCCAGAACGTTTAGGGCTAGCTTTTTATGGCAAACACTAAGTACAAAAAAGTTAAGCCCTGTCACATATCTCACATCCTAGAAGAAATCCCAATGTGCAAATAATTATGTTCTGTGGGGACCTGCATTACCTATAAGAAGTTAAAACATTTCAAGGAAAAGGCACCTATTGGTTTATATATCGTATATACTAGAGGTACCCAATCAATGTGTGACTATGCTAACACTCCCTCTCGGCGCCAGCACTGGAGACATTTGGCTCTCTTCCTCCAAACAGGGTAGGAGCTACAAACCGTTGCTTGTAGTATACCTGTGCTCTGTTACCATGTTAAGCCTATGGTTACAATTCATCTTTAAAAACCGGCTTTCAAGGAAAGGCTGCTCATGTGTTTATACATGGCATATCCCAAAAGGTACTAAAGCGATGTGGGACTATTGTAACACTCTCCATCAGTGTCATGATGGGAAACACTGGGTGTAACATGGTTTCATAGCAGGTGTACCATAAGGATGGGTCAAGTTCGTATTTCTTGCCCTACGTGGGGTGAACCATGTGTCTCCAACCCTGGTGCTGAAGGGAAGTGTTACTAAGGTCCCACATCCCCTAGATATCTTTTGGGATATGCAATGTTTAAACACATGGCCACGCTTTGGAAAGAAATGTATGGCCACCCTTTGCTTTCCCTTAGAACCAACTTTAAGGATGAGTTCTACCCCATTTAACATGTCGAACAAATTTGAGAGAGCATCAACTGACCTAAGCCAATTGAGTTGGTAGAATTCAAGAGGATTCAAATGGTATTATTGAGCATAACCTGAAGAAGGTGGCAAATTTGAGAAATAAATGCTCTTAAACCTCCATAGTCGTTGAGCCTTATTTGACTGTTGAGGAGGAAAACCTATCTTTGGTTCTTCAGGTTTTCCCACATTAGGTTTTTCATTCATCTCAAGGAAGAAAACGTCTCATGGTGATTCTCATTTATTGGACTGTTTAGAATTGATAAAACTTATTATTAGGCTCATCATGACTGCTTAAATAAAATTTAAATAAGGTTGATTGTGCATTTCAGTGACTGCTCAAGTATGGATCTTGAATTTTCTGTTCACTCTTTATGATTCCCCTATATATTTTAGGGGTCACTATGTTGTTTGTCATATTTGCTTTTAAGATTTTGAAGCATGAAAAATAAAAATTTAATGCAAACTCTTTCTGAGCTTGTGAATTTGTGATAATATATATCTTTCACGCTGAAGCTTATCCCCAATATTAGAAGTTTCACTTGTTGTCTGACCATTCCATAGGGTGTCAACAAAGGCCTTGTAGCAGAACGTCTCCTCTTAACAATGAAACAGAAAACAATGCTTCCAGATTTTGTTCTCTGTATTGGGGATGACAGGTCTGACGAAGACATGTTTGAGGTAATAATGAGTGCAAGGGACTCTCTCTCTCCGGTGGCTGAAGTGTTTGCTTGCACTGTTGGCCAGAAACCCAGTAAGGCCAAGTACTACTTGGAAGACACAACTGAGATTCTGAGAATGTTACAGGGCCTTGCCAATGCTTCGGAGAAGGCAGCCAAAAGTGCTCCACAACCTTCTCAGAGAGTGGTTATTTTAGAATAAATAGAGTATTCATTGAAACCTCCACCAGGCCTGGGGTTCTTTTCATGAGCATAGGCAATATTGGTTCGGTGTGGTTGGAATTATGGAGGGGTCTTTCTTAAGCAACAGATATACATAATCCTATTTGACTGTTTTTGCAAAGCTTATGCATTGAGCTGCTGAATTGTAACATTTGCTCATGTCTCGCTGTGGCCTTGTTTACTTGGTGTGTTTCTGACTCTTTCACAGTTGAATGTGCTGCCTTTTCGTATCCCACCTGAGAATTTTGCTAGGTAAATCAGCCACACCTCAATGAGTAATTTGGGAGGCCTCTTCTTACAGGGGGTAGGCTCACTTTTGGGGTTGTAAATGGAACTCTTTGGAAACATATATAAAATGGTTCCTTCCACAGCCCATGGTGTCATGCCTTATTAACCATGTAAAACAGATCAATGCTTGAAGGTGCATATCAAGATATACCACGTGACCGTATTGCCCAAAATCTGTATTGCCCAAAATCTAGATTGCTTCCCTTGGCCAGTAAACATAAATGGCCCCTGTGCACCTAACTATGCATATAAGGTTTTCAACTCATGTATCTGGTGGATTGTTACTAGTCCAAAAAATAAGTTCAATTATTTTTGAAATTGACCTAAGTTGATCATTTTCTTTAAAAAGGCAAGTTAAATAGGACACAGAGACTAAATTTAGTGTTAATTTGATTTGATTTCTCAATTCCATGACTCCTCAACCTTTTTGTATGAGAATTATTCGTATGTTAGGTCCTTATTTTGGAGAAATTATAGAATATTACAGTAGTACGGTCACGTGGTATATCTTGTACGAGTGTTATAATATGGGTGGACGACAAAGTTTATTTTCCCCCCTTTTAAGGAATAGTATCAATGAACATGCACTGTTATTATAACACATGTATAATATGTGTTATGTGACCGTACTATCATAGTATTCTAAAATACAAAATTTCTCTTTTAGCATCAAATTTATCAACATGAATTCGTTCATTCATTAAGCATAATGCAATGTCTGGTTTTGTCTCTAGTCACCTAAAATATAAACATCTGGTTACCTAAACAAGGGATTTAAAGGAAATTCATGCGCATTAAAAAAGAAAAGAAAAAGAAGATAAGTAGCATGTAATATTTTTCTTTCCCACCAGAAAGTACCAATGCAACTTTCTTCCTCAATTAAGCTCTTCCCAGCAGCACTGATTCTTTAGGAGCTTCACTTGCATTTGGATCTTCAGTATCCGACTTACAACGATCGTCAAGGTAGTGCTGATAGACATAGGAAACGAAACCCCAAAGAGCCACAACTATTGCTATCACCTTCAAGCCATGCATCCTGTCATGGAAAACAATCACAGCCAAAATTTGAATGACAGGCAAACCCAGAGCACTTATGACATTGGAGAACAGAGAAGACACCTCAAAAATCAACCCAACCGCACCAATCACAAAAACCTGCCAAACAATACTTGTCCAAACCAAGATCATAACAAAAGAAGCCTTCCCTATTTCAAACTCATCCATCTCTCTCTTTAGGCCCTTCCACTCTCCACTTGCAAAAAGTCCAACCAAGGCAGCACATGTTGCTACCAATGACTGATAGATTATCACATCCATGACAACTATGTATGTTTTCTTTCTGATGACCTTGTTGAAGGCAAACTGTGTCAAGGCAAGCGCTGATCCAGTCCCGGCAGAAGCACCAACAGTGCATATGAATCCAGCTGCATACTTCCCTTGAGAGACTCTTCCTGTATTAGGAGTATCTTCCGAGTTGTCATTAGCTTGAAACACAAGAAGAATGGAGGAGATGGTGACAAGAACTATAGAATTGATGATAAAGAAGGAGAAGAGGGCTGTAAATCCCAGTTGGGAGGCACAGATGAGTGAGAAGGTAGAAACAGGAAGATATAAAAGCCCAAATGAAGTCAAGAAACAGCTTCCTGCTATGAGTAGGCCAAGGGTCACACAGACCATTGCAAGGATTAATACAGATGGTCCTTCTGTGGTGGGATTAATTTTCTTGGATTTTAAGAAAAAACAGAAAGGAAGGAGGATTGGAAACCCTACAAGTTGAACAAGTGCTCCTATCCATTTGCTTTTTCCACCTCCTTCAAAGTATAGTCTGAGAGGGCAACGAATGTTGATGCTCTTTTTCGGAGAAGGTCAACTTAGAGAAAATGGGGATTTGCCTTTAGCAGGGAAAGGGTCTGGACCTTCAACAAAGGCTAGCCTGTAGAAGACAGAAATAGGGGAAAAGCAGTCGTTAAGCTTTGGACACCGGTGTGGTGCCGGCCGAAGGCTCTCCGATGCTTAAGTCAGCTAAGAAGGGTAACTTTTGCAGAGTAATAGTAAAATGTAGAAAAGTAGTTACCCTTTTTACTAGGGTATTGTGCCCTCTTTATAGGAAAGTGAAAGTGGGAGGTTGGTGTAGATTTTCGATGTGGGACTTTGTGCAAGTCGCTGCGGTGGTGACACGTGTCATGGGAATTAGGTTTAGCAGTTTGTGAGCTTTGGCAGTCGGGAGTTTCGGCAAGTGCTTGGCACCTCGGAAGAGTGTCTTCCTTCGGCAGGAGAGAAGGCCTGTGTGCCTTTGGAGCTAGTCGCTTTTGAGACTGGATATGCTCGGTTGATTATGGTGTAAACAGTAGTCCCCCAAGTTCGCGGTCAAGAAGTAATTTCTGGGTTGGGAACTTGTTAGATTTTTGTGTAATCATGACCGAGCATTCCAGGTTCAGTGGGAGCCGTAGGGCAGTCCCTAGTCCCCCAAGTTGGCAAGCTAGAAATTGCGGCAACACTTGATAGCTGTGTGAGCTTCTAGGACTATTTGGTAGCTGGGTACCCGAGTGTTTGGCAAGGAAGCCGAGTTTGGGCTCTATGGAGCTAGGCCACAAGGGGTTGGGGCCTTGAATGATGAGCCCTTATTCTTCTTGCACAATGCATGCCGTTCGGCAGGTTCTTTTTTTCCTTTTTTTTTTTTTTTTTTTTGGGGTAGCTGGAGGTCTCTAGTAAAGCTGGCATGGCCCTTGCCATTCGGCAAGGGACCAAGATGGTCCTGGGCTAAATGTTGAGCTTCAGAAAGGTTTGGAAAAACAAGAATTTTGGGGTTTAGGCCGTAGGGCTTCGGCAAGTATTCAGCAAGGGTGTTTAAATGAGGAAAAGTGGCCCAGGCAGACTCAACGTGGCATGGGAGATGGAGTGGGGCTGAGGCCAAGTTGGAGCTAGGGTTTTGAATTGAGAGGGGTTAAATAAGTTGCTATGGCTCATGCCGTTCGGCAAGAGAGCTAGCTCCTTATGCATTTCCTTTTTGTTTGTTTTGGGTCCAGCCATTTCCAGCTTCGGCAAGAGACTTTGTTGTTCTTGGTGGCTGGGTTCGAAGGAAAAGGCCAGTGAAGGTGTCGAACGGTAGGGGGTTACCTGAGGTTTGCGAGGCCACGCTGTGTGTTGCTGTTTTAGGGTGAGTTTTTTGCTGGAGATTGGGCGCAGGGTCCACAGTGTAAGGACTGGTGTTAGGGCCTGCCGTTCGGCAAGTCTCGAGCTGAAGGGCGCGAGAGCTTCGGAGGAGAGTACTTCGAGCTGGTTGGTGATCTGTCGTGAGCCGGGTCTCTCAGAGTGTTGGCAAGGAGTCCGGACGTGACTTGGAGCTGGGTTCTCCGTGCGACTGGGGCTGTTCGAGTGTAGGGAGGCCTCTATTATTCAAAACATAGCCCCTACCGTTCGGCAGGGGTGATTGGAAATTTTGGAGTCTTCGTCCTTTTATGCAAAATCTGGTTTTGAACGGTTCGGTGAGAGTGAGTTTCAGATCCCAACTCGGTAAGGCTTTCGTTGAGTCCTCCCCTTTTGTTTCTCCACGGGTCCTGCCGTTCGGCAGGGCTCCTCCGGCCAAAATATTCATACACATATATATATATATATTTTATTTTTATTATTATTATTAATTTTTTATTATATAAATATGACCTTTTGCTCGGCAGGTTTGGTTCGGAACTGATATATTCTTGGGCCTTTGGTTACCAGAGCTGGATGTGAGTTTTAGCAATAGCAGGTGTTGTGCTTGAGGTTGTTAGAGAAGGGAGGAGGTTTCAACAACAGCTGGGATTTGGAGCTGGCCTCGTTCTCATCTCCCCAGACAAGGTTGTCATTGAGTACGCCCTCCGCTTCAAATTCCACGCCTCCAACAATGAGGCTGAATACGAAGCATTCTTAGCCGGCCTTCGGCTAGCCAAGGAGATGGGTGCCAAGCAAATCCAAATATTCAGCAACTCGCAGCTTGTTGTCCACCAAGTCAACCAGGACTTTACGGCCAAGGACGTCTCCATGACAGCCTACCTCCAACATACCCGTCATCTGCTTACAACTTTCAATACTTATCTCATAGGCCAGGTGCCACGCTCTGAGAACAGCCATGCCGATGCATTGGCAAGGCTAGCCTCGGCGATGGAGCAGGGCATAGGTCGCAACATCCACATTGAGTTCTTAGACCAACCCAACACATGGGCACCACTCATTTGTGTCATCGATCACAGCCCTACATGGATGGACCCTATCACTCAGTTCTTGCATAACCAGACATTACCTGCTGATCTTGCTGAAGCGCAGCGTGTTCGCTATCGTTCCGCTCAATACTTGATCATCAATGGCGCCCTATACAAGCGCGGCTTCAGCCTCCCCTACCTTTGGTGCCTGACCCCAGAGGAAGGTACCTACGTCCTAAGGGAGATTCATGAGGGCATCTGTGACAACCACTCAGGCGCTCGCTCCCTAGCACACAAGGTCATTCGGCAGGGATACTTTTAGCCATCACTTCACACCGATGTCCAGACTTTCACCCAGAAGTGCGATAAGTGTCAGCGATTTGCCAATATCCCTCAACTCCCAACTGAGCCATTGACAGCCATGGTTAGTCCTTGGCCATTCGCACAATGGGGACTTGACCTCATTGGACCTATGCCTGAGGGCAAGGGCCAGGTCAAGTACGCCGTCGTGGCCGTCGACTACTTCACTAAGTGGGCTGAAACAGAGGCCTTAGCCACCATCACTGCAGCTCGCATTGAGACGTTTGTCTGGCAAAATATCGTATGTCTCTTCGGCATCCCCAACACAATCGTCACGGACAACGGCTGACAATTTGACAATGCCAAGTTCAAGCAATTTTGTTCCAACCTCAAGATAAAGCTTTGCTTCGCCTCCCCAGCCCATCCTCAATCTAATGGCCAAGTGGAAGCTGTGGACAAGATCATCAAGAAAACTCTAAAAACCAAGCTTGACAAAGCTAAGGGTTGCTGGCCAGAGCTACTCCCAGAGGTTCTCTGGTCCTACCGCACCACCTTCCGTACCTCAACGGGAGAAACACCGTTCTCCCTTTCCTTTGGTACTGAAGCTGTGGCAACAGTGGAGATTGACCAGCCCACATACCGAATCTCCATTTATGAGGCTGAAGCTAATGACAAGCAACGCCCTGAACCTCGACTTCATTAATGAGCTTCGTGACCAATCCAACATGCGCAATGTCGCGTACAAACAGCGCATCGCTAAGTACTACGACTCCTGAGTCAAGCCCGTGCTTTCAAACTTGGAGACTGGGTGCGCAAGGTTTCCTTGGCCACTAAGAATCCCACTGAAGGTACCTTGGGCCCAACATGGGAAGGTCCTTATGAGGTTACCAAAGTCTGCCGCCTCGGCACTTATCAGCTTCGTGATACCAAGGGCAAGACCTTGCCTCATCCTTGGAATGCTAATCACCTCAAGTACTACTATAAGTAAACATACCTAGATCCTAGGACATTATGTTTTCTTAGACTTTGGTCTCGAGCCTTGACTCAACCAATTCTTGTACTCTTTGCCTTCCAGCACATATTAAATGAACGCCCGACCCTGGCTCATTCTCATCAATCACATGGTTCTCATTTTGCTAAGCACAATTGATATCAAATGACAACAAGTCTAATATCATAGCAAATCAAGGTAACCTTGCCCCAGGCAAGGCAAAATGTTCATACATAACCAAAATAAACATCAAGTGTTTAAACTAAAAAGCTAGAATACATAAAGAAGGCAACGCCTTCAGGACTCAGTCGATGGAGCATCCGTAATGGCTGGCTCCGGCTCTGGCTCTGGGACGGCATCAGTGGTACGACTGGCTCACCACTCGTGTCAAAGTTAATCTCCACCGAAGGGTTGAACATCGCCACCATTTCCTCCCAACGCATCTGCATCGCCACCATCTGATCCATGATGTAGCTCCTCAGCTCCTCCGAACCCCGAAACGACTCGATCGCTTCGACTCGGGCAGCAGCTACCTCCTCGGCCTTCGACCGCTTCAGCTCTTCCATTTCCTTGGCCATCACCGCTTTCTGCAGCACCAGGGTGTTCTTTTCTTGGATCTCCTTATCTGCCTTGGACATCTCATTGCGCCTCCGCTATCTTATCCTTGGCCATCTCATTGCGTCTCTTCAACCTCTGGATCTTCTTATCTGCCTTGGCCATATTCACGTACATCTCGCCATAAGCCTGCAACACAAAGCATGATCAGTCAAAGGCAAATTCGAATTATATGAACAAATTCTTAAAGTAGGATAACTTACATAGGCCTGGGTAAGGAGCGTCTTCTGGGCCCGATCTGCATAGGAGGTAGCCGGGGTCTTCGCCAGAACTTCTGGATCACTCTTCACGCCTTCCAGGAAGACGTTCATCAAGGGGACCTCCTGCCGATGCATGGCCAGAATCACCTCCTTCTTCTGCCGACGCAGCCCAGAAAAGTCCACCTTCTCCACCCCCTCGGCGTAAACATCATCCATACCAAAAGGGAGCTTCAGCGGCGCCTGCAGGTCAAGAGGATGAAGCCTCGACCCTGTCCCCATCATGCTCCGGTGAGCTTCCTCCTGCGCTCTCTTCTTTCCAAGCACATCGACAACCAAGCCTTCACCATCTCTGGGACGCTTCCCAGCCGCTTGCTGAGCACCTCCCTTCTCCACCCTCTTGGCCCTAGACTCCCTCAGCCGTTTCTGCATCTCGGGATAATCCAGATCTATGGCCACCTTCGTGCTTCCTTTTATGATACCTGCCACTGCACATCAAAAGCTAAGTTAGTCTCAACTACAAAAAGAATCATAGGACAAACAACAATGACCCAGGTACTTACTCCCTTGCAAAAGTCCGGACTCGTACAAGTTCTTCTGGGTGACTATATAGGCGGCTATAAGAAACCACCACTTGAAGTTTTTGCCTTGAGCCATTTTTGATTCATTGTTGACTCGTGTGTTCACTTGAGTTTCCCCCTTTGTCATCTTCAACTGCTAGAAATTCAAATTGTACAATGATGATTGATGAGACCATTAGGATTAGTGAAACATTTAAAATCCCAAAAAATACCCTTAAATGAGGATATCATATTAATTTGAAAAACAAAAAACCTGAAAATGAGACATGTTCTACATCCACTCTAATATAAAAATACAAGGCTTTTTTAAAAGATATATCCTTCAAATTAAATTGTTTGAGGCACACTTTTGTAGGATCCACTTCGCATTGTATTTCACTAATCCAAACTATCTATATTTTAGATAATCATTCAAAGATCATCTCTATAAAAAATCACATGAATCCAATATCGTTTGACCATTCAATTGTGTTATTGAAATTTTAGTACTTTCTTGAAGCACCATGTTCATCGATTTTGTAGGATACAATTGGATGTCGAAACGTTTACTGATTTGTC